GGGGGCCACGACCTTTCTCCCAGGGACCCCTTTGGTTTTGCCTCTCTGGGGTTTTTCTCTGAAAGGGAACTTCTGGTTTTCTCTTGGAGAAGAGCAACTAAGATGATCAAAGGCCTGGAGACTAAGACGTATGAAGGACGGTTGCAGGAATTGGGGATGGCCAGTCTGGAGAAAAGAAGGACTGGGGGGGGACATGATAGCAATATTACAGTATTTGAGGGGCTGCCATAAAGAAGAGGGGGTTAAATTATTCTCCAAAGCGCCTAAAGGCAAGAGAAGAAACAACGGATGGAAACGGATCAAGGAGAGAAGCAACCTGGAATTAAGGAGAAACTTCCTAACAGTGGGGACAATTAACCAGTGGAACAACCTGCCTCCAGAAGTTGGGGGTGCTATAGAATAGAATAGAATAGAATAGAATAGAATAGAATAGAATAGAATAGAATAGAATAGAATAGAATAGAATAATGATAAGAATAGAATAGAATAGATTAAAATAGAACAGAATAGAATAATGATAAGAATAGAATAGAATAGAATAAATTAGAACAGAACAGAATAGAACAGAATAGAATAGAATAATGATAAGAATAGAATAGAATAGATTAGAATAGAATAATGATAAGAATAGAATAGAATAGAATAGAGTAGAATAGAATAGAACAGAATAGAATAATGATAAGAATAGAATAGAATAGAATAGAATAGAATAGAATAGAATAGAATAGAATAGAATAGAATAACAGAGTTGGAAGGGACCTTGGAGCCTGCTGGCTAGGGAATTCTGGGAATAATGATGATGATGATGATGATGATGATGATGATAAAGTTGGAAGGGACCTTGGAGGTCATCTAGTCCAACCCCCTGCTCAGGCAGGAAACCCCATACCATTTCAGACAAGTGGCTGTCCAGTCTCTTCTTAAAAACTTCCAGTGTTGGAGCATTCACCGCTTCTGGAGGCAGGTTGTTCCACTGGTTAATTGTTCTAACTCTCAGGAAATTTCTTGCTAATTCCAGGTTGCTTCTCTCCTTGATGAGATTCCATCCGTCTCCAAAATTCAAACGTTGGC